AGTATATAATCTCCATATATAAATGAAGCTTGTTGACGATTATTTTGGCGCAATGGTCAGCCTTTCATCAAGAACCAAGCAACCTTCCACTTCAAAAATTTTAAATATGCCCTTATTTGCACCCGACTTCGAATCATCCAAGCTCTAGTGTTCAATAACAGAAGATGAAAAACCACCGACACAAATTCCTTAAGATTATCGTCTTGGTGATAAAGGTGATTGGTATAGTTTTGTTACCTCCTTAAAAATTATGTAAAATTTGCGTATTTGCTTCTAGAAGGAACAAGAAATTGAGTTTGAAAGAAGCCAACCTCTATTTATGAGAATACTCCAGGTTAATTGTAACAGTATGTTATAAATATATACATATGAAAAAAAATTATTTGTCGCATATACATATTTGTATATGACAAATGTGAACACAGGACTTTTTTCACTAACGCCTGCGCTGCACCCGGATGATACATGCCATGAGAACCAACCAATGCTAGCACACAGTGTTAAGGATTAAGGGGCGAGAAGGTCTCGAGTCTATTAAGGCAACAAGGAGGGTTAACAGGATGGGAATGGGCAGTATGGATTGAGAGGCTGGTTAGGAACTCTTGAAATCTGGATCGGATTAGTTCATTGACAAAAGGAATGTTTATGTTGTGGATAGTGAGGTTAGTATTGAGGATCTTTGGCAATTTATCTGAGGACTTTTGATTGGAAGGATTGGATGCGCTGGATATTAGATGGATTGGCAGAACCCCACGGTATGTCTAAAGTGGTGTTGTGTTAGTTTTAGTGTTGACGGTCAAAACGTAAGTACGGTCGTAGTTGCCCAAGTCGTGTTGATTTCTCTTAAGTCTTGTGTGGGGATTCAACGTCACTCTGTTGTCTATATAAAGTCCTAATTCCTAAGTTAAATACATAAATACGAATAAATGTGCTGATGTGGAAGAAACGTACAAAAAAGCATTTAAGGCGAAATAACCACAGCGAATTTAAACCTGGAGTGATTATAGGTTGGACGGGTCGAACCCTAATTCAATCATGTACCTGCTTCTTTCGCCTTCGCTTTTTTAACCTGCTACGGGGTCATTTATTAGGCAAAACCCTTTTGTAAAGACGTTTCTTTTGTACAGGTGTCTTAGGTGGGTAACATAAGAGAATTTATTACTCCCCGTATAGATTTGTTTTTGTTCTACGCCACAGGAGGCAATTTGAGAACAAACTGGCATTTCGTGTCGTAAATAAGGTAGTGGACAAATAGTTTGTAACGCCTTTCTGATGGACCGTTCTGGGATGGAATGCCGTAAAACGGGACGGGATTAACAACCGGCCCCCCTCTAAAACAATTGAAATACACAGTTACAGAAAAATCTGAAGAGGTTAAAGCTGAATGTACCGTCTGTAGTAAGTTCATCTACCACGACATAGTATATCAAAATGAAACAAGTTTATTTGACCTCTTATTTCTTTACTATTCCATTTTTTTTCTGTAAAAAAATTTATTATGAATTTGAAACATAAATTAAGCTTAGGTCTTAACTCACTGATCATCGAAAGTATAAGGAACTTTCCGAATAGCTAGAAACGAGAAATTCCGCAAAAAGGTAGGCTTTAAAAAAAATTCTAAAAATTGCCATTTTCTCAAAATTAGTGCCGCTTTTTTTAGGGGGGGGGGAGGAGTCTCACCATCAAAATTATGACACGTTCCGTACAGGTAGAAATGTGATATTTGGCACAAATGTACCTCTTTCATTATAAATAAAGGAAAGAATCTGAAAATAGCAATTTTCTCTTCTTACAAGAGAAAATCCTCGACGTGCATAATCGCTCCTGTCTCGAAAACTACGTCCAGGATGCCGGAGTGAACGAAAAAGTATGATATCCCCCTAACCATGAAAAAAGGGCCACAGTATAGATCGTCATAAGAGGGCTAATTTTCTAGAGGGGTTTTTGGAACATTTATCTCTTCTTTTTTTTTTAGTTTTCCCAGGTTATGGACCAAAAACGAACAGACTTGGCCACAATCCAGATATCATTACATCGATAGGCTGATATTTTTGGAGGGAATCTGGAATCTGCTTTTTTACACGGTTAGGTTTTTGTTGGGATAAAATTCGTTCTAATTGGTTCGGTGTGACAAGATTGTATAGAATCCATCATCTGATGACGTTCAAAACCTTCTGTTCAATGAAACCCATGACACTTACTCATTATTCATACCGTGTAAATTTATCCGTTTTATATCCAATTTGGAGTTAATAGCAAGATGTCAGACTGGAAAGTTGCTAGTTATTCATTAGAGCTAACCATTTCTGAAACAGAAGTGCAAGGATTTGCCCCAAGGATTCAAAGTAGAAAAAAAATCAGGTACAAACAGGGACTGTTCAACAGATGTTTCTGTAAACGTTACGTTTTGTAAAACGTAAAAGTTAGCGATCCTGGTTCGACTGGACGGTTGTTGATCCTGATTATAATTATGAGTCAGCCATCTTCAGTGAGAACTGAACAATTGCGAGAATATAACGACAGAAAAGTGATCAGTGTCGATCAGTACAGGTTTTTTAACGACCTCCAAACCATATAGGTACGCTGTTTAGCAAATAGAAAGTCTGAACATCTGGATTTAAGATTAATTTCCATGAAAAATCAACGTCCACATAAATTCACCACATGCGTTAAAGTGAAAGAAGAGGGGAATGTGGAACGAGTTAAGACATTTTTCGGCTCAATGACAAAATTGGCTTATAAACCACATTTTAACATCGCTTTGATGACAGTAATAAGTCCGATAATGAGCGTTAAATTAGTTTCTTAAAGTGTGACGAAAATAAAATTACAAGACTATGACAGTAGAGCGTTCCAAGTCTTTGATGAGGACACCAATCAATTTAGCCTGAAGTTCAGAGAAAAGTAATATCACTACGGTACTATCATCTAAGGGGAAAACCGCAAGATTAAATATGCGTTTATTTTATGGCTTTGCGTCACCGTAGCCGCTTTTCTTTCGATTCGGCCGAGGAGACTTTAAATTCATGTTCTCATACGTTCTTCATTTTTCGTCATGAACACTCAATTACTGTCAGCAATCAAGCACAAAGTGATCCAGGCACGCGAAAGTCACAATGAACATATACATATATGGGGATATAGTTACAGGAGATAAGTAGCATAAAGCAAAAACAATCGGATGGGAAAGGTTTATTTATCTTGGAAAATGAATGTCGTACCTGGCACTGCGTCGATTAGAGGATAATGTGTCATAATAAACATATGTACAAATATTAAAGAAGTGGAAAGGAATGATAAAAAAATGTAATGAAATAAGAGAAATAGATAAACAAATCGAACTTGAAAAATTGCCATGATCCATATTTCAAAAAATGTTTTATATTGACTTAAGGAAAGGTAAAAAGGTTTACCACGATTTATAGTTTATTTCTCATTTCCATTGGTCGAGGTATTGGATTAATTGTTAAATAATTTGTACTGTAATTTGATTTTCCAAATATTTTTTATCTGTTATTGTTTGTGAAACATGTAAATTTAGTATTCGTGGACCGTCAATCATATTATTAAGATTTTGTAAGTCGATATTAGGTCATTATTTTGTAGTCTTGTGTTTAGAGGTTGCACAATTTAATCTTCTGTAATAAATGATAAGGTGATTCTATATAAAATGATAAGGTCTGTCCTAGTATTTTCCAGTAATTCTAAACCAGAGAGTGTGAATAAATAGTCGCTGAATGGTTTCTATTGAATTAGTATTTTTTGATAAGGTGACCAAACAACTGAACAATATTCTAAAATGGGACGTAACATTAGTCTTAAACAGTACAATCATTGGTTCTGCATCCTTAAATTTTTTTGTAGTTCTATGTATGAAAGCTGAAATTTAATTAGCATCGTGTTGTCAGAGTAGGTGTGATTCCAAGAATGGTAGTTTGACTGTCCAATACTCTGCAAGATTACTTATTTATTTCATTTTTTTTGCAGAAGCATCATGAATAGAAAGAAGTTATAGCAGAATAGACGGTCATCAGCAATGAGGGAGAAATTAACTGAGTAAAAACAAGGAGAAATATTAATATTTTAAAAAGGAATGGACCGAGTATCGACCTCTGAGATATAACAGGAAAGACTGCTAAACTTTTGGAACTTACTGAATCAAATTACGTTTCGGATAAGAAGGCAATGATCAATTTTATCAAATGCCTTGACAAGATCTAAGTATATTGTGTCAACCTGTTGTCGATTAGATATGGCTTTGGTTGTGTAGTCTTGAAAAAGAAGAAGATTAGTTATTAACATACAAAAATGTAATTTATCTTCTGAAATTTTTTATTTCTTTTCAATCCCTTTGAACCAGGGACTTTCGCGCGGTCAAAAATTGACTGAAGAACAGTACAAGATTTTGTTCGTACAAATCGCATTCCAGGACCAAAGGTGCACAGATGAAAGTAGATTATTAATCGCCTAATCATCAAGTCGGTATTAAAAGAAAGTCTCTTGGAAGACGGTTTAACGACAATAATATAAACAAAAATATTACACATTTTCTAAAAACATCACACATTTTCTAAAAATATCATCGTACTTAGGTGGTGTAGGTAGGAAAATTTATACTAAAGCTTGGGGTTTGGCAAAATTCTCTGTTTTTTGTATAATTATGATAAATAATTAATATTTATAATAAGCAGATTGCTGTATTATTTTGTAATGAAGGTTTATTTGTTTAATGAAGTTTGATATGATTGAAAACGCGGCTGACCTTTTTAATATTGAATAGTGCATAACCGTAATTTTTTGTTTTGTTTTAGAAAGGTTAAATAATTAAATTTCAATTGGATCGTATGGTTTTTTGTTTAATTAGAAAAAAGGCGTTGTTTTAATGCGTCTCGGTTTTGTAAAGTGCGTGATCCCTGGATCCCTAAGGGTTAAAAGATAGAAGATAGTCCGATAACCGCAGGTTTTAAACAAAATTAACCCTTAAATAAAACACAACTTACGGTGGAATATATTCCTCCAGCTCCCGCTCAAGACCCTGAGGCATTTGTGGAGGGTGTTGGAAGGTACCGGGAGGGCCAGGGAGGCCTGGGAGCTGCTCAGGTTGCTCTCCGACCTGCTCCTGCTCAGGCTCATCCCGCTTTTCCTTCTGTCCGAGCCCTCTTCCAGGACGACGATGTCATCCTCGGCCTCCCTGAAGCTCCTGTAGGTCACCTCGGGATGGACATTTCTCGTCTTTTTTGTCATCGCGGCCCGATCAGCACTTCATCGCGACAAGGGTCAGGAGACACTGAGAGAAGAATTCGCCCGGGAGCACGTTTCCTATTGCGGATCCCGTCCTCCCAAATGGGGAATGTCAACTTGAAAACGGGCTTTCTTTTTTTTTATATTTACCTTACCCTCCCGGGGCAACTGTACAACCAGATATAATTAAAAACCGACCCCTTTTTAAAATAAATACTGCACTTTTTTTCTAAATTAACTACGTATAAATTTTTTTAATATAAACCAAATCCGACCCGATTATGACAATAAAACGTTAAAGAAAGTTTAAACAAAAAACATATAAACAATATAAAAAATATCGCCGGGTTACGCGAAATAGTAAGTCCTGCCGTAAGTTCGTCCCTGTCTATGTGAGCTCCAACACAAGACTGGCCGGTTTCATAAGAACCGTGGAGACCAGGGACGCAAGTCTGCCTGCTTACAGGACGAGGAGGAGCCACGGCTCGGCACTTCTCGGTTAGCTTCGTTCTCGCCGTTTAAAATGGAAATTTTTCCCGTTAATTATTTATTAAATACGACTTAATTATCGCAAAAAAGAAAGAACGAAAGAGAATTGCAGAACAAGCTTTTTTATTCCTTTTGTCTTACGCGTTGTCCCATAAAAATTACCGACTTCCATTGCCAACTAAGCACACCGTTTTAAATTGAAAACGTTCCATGTTTCAAACAATAGAAATTTTTCAATGAAATATGTTCAAAACTTAATTTAAAACCTCCCTAAATTTTGACTATACCCTTTTGGTCGAGTCCAAATAGGCTTTTTTGTATTTCTACGTTCTAAATTCGATAAATAAATTAAATTATGATAATTCTTATATTGTGAGATTTCTCTGTTGTTTACAGGCTGATGTAATTTGGTCGACACCGGTCATTTTTTTGATCTGCCTACATTCGCTGGATTGGCGATCTTCCGAATCACACACCGACAAAAGTGTCAATATTAACCAAAAAAGAAAAATTGTCGAACTTGATCATTAACATGTTCATAGACTTGCTGTTTTATGTTGTTCTCTGCCGGGAATAGTTTCTCACTGAACATGGCGTGAGCCGATCAAAATCACCTGGTTTCAACACTGAATATGGCGAAATGCAGAAACGCAATAATGACCAAGTTATTGATTATTGTTAACTCAATTCACTAGTTTTCGTGGTCCGCTTGACCAATTGATATCTTTCAATTAATTATTGTTAACCTCGATCTCTTTCATCGCTCAAGAATTTTAAACGCCGAGGGTTTAGTCATTACAAAGTTTAATAAAAATATTCAAAGTTTAGAGCATTGATTTTTGCTTGTTGGACAAGCTCAAATTTCTTGAGATTTGCGGTGGTGAACGTATCTAGATATCCTAGCTGTATTTGGTACGTCAAACTCACTTATTTTTCCAAAATTCCTATAAAGTATGCGAGGTAGTGAACCTAAACTAAAAAGAAGCAAGTAAATAACGCAAAGACCCAACACTGAATACCCAAAAATGGCGACGATATGTTGAACAAAATGATCGAAAACGACCAAACAGCAAACATTTAAAACTAACAGGTAAAATGGCGAGAGTGTAATAAAAAATTAATGGAAACACTGAGCAACAACTTTGCAGAGGATGAGGTAGGCAAATGTTTCGAAGATTTGGAACTAAAGCAAATTTGCAGTAGTACAGCAGTTTACGACCATTTTAGTCTGCTTATCATAACAGTATTTGGTATGTCAAACTCGTTGCGGCTCTTCTACGCCTTCAACTGTTATTTTTTCAAACATCCTATCAGGTATACAACATGACGAATGTGTTTACGAAAGAATAATTCGTCTAAATAACGCACAAACACTGAAGACATCTAAACAGCTAGGATAGGCTGAACAAAATGACCGGAAAGCAATACTGAAGGTAGTTGACAACTGAAGATGTCAAAATGCGGAGGATGAGATAGGGAAAAGTCTGTAGAGGCACGTCTTGAGATCTGTAGTAGAAGGGACCTGTAGTTTGGTCGTTTCCGAGTTTTAGTCTGCCTATCTAAACTGTATGTCAAACTCGTTTCGTCTTCTCGCAATCTTCAGCGGTGAGTAATTTTTCAGACATTCCTGAGCGGAATGCAAGTTGTTGCAAGTTAAGTATAAAAAAGTACAAGTCGACTAAATAAGTCACAAACACTGACCACATCTAACAGCGAGAATAGGCCGAACAAAACTGCTGAGGATGAGACAGGCAAAGGTCTGGAAAGCTTAGAAAAACATAAGATTTTAACGAATGCTTTCTTACTATAATACAATGAAAAGGAATACTTGAGGTCTGCGGTGGAATAGAACTGTAGGACATAAGTCAGATTTGTTTCGGCTTCTCGCCATCTTCAATGTTGATTCTTTTTCCAGACATTCCTATGATGAAGGTTTGCAAGGTGATAAAACTTACGTTTAAAAAATTATAAATCGACTAAATAACGCACAGGTTAAATACTGAAGACTCCAGAACAGGGAAGATCGGCTGAAAAAATGATCGGAAACGACCAAAATATAAATAGATAAATACATTAAAATTGAAATAAAGAAATATTACTAAAGGAGGATTATAACTGAGTATGAAAAAGTCTCTGGTGATGAGCTCAGATCAAAAACTGAACCATTCCAAAATAAACGATTTTTGATCATTGGTGTGTTAATTTCCATGCTTGTACGGTGAAGAAAACTGGAGTTGATTGAAATAACAAAGTCGAACCACTGAACATGGCGAAATGCCAAAAAGTACCAGACAGCAAAGTAGCAAGGATAGGCGCATAAAACTCAATTTATGTATTTCAATAGTAAATTAATTTATTTAAAATGTATAATATGTGAAGGGGTTTTACACGTATACTTGAATCTGACGTGAAACGAGTTAAAGCTCTTTTATGCTAATAAAAGCCAAGACCTATAAAAATAAATGAGACAGCAGGTACAATATTTTGTACTTGTTTCACTGTAAGTACTTAAATAATCAAGGATAGGAATGAATTGTGTTAAAATTTTGTAGTGTTCTAGAGATATTAGATATAACGTCCGAAACTTAACAAACTTTTAGGATGATGTGATTGTATTTTGTCTGATTATTTTTTTAAGCAGTCTTTGTCTTTGTTTATATAACTTAGGGCACATCTAGAAAAAATTCATTGTCATGATGGGGCAAAGTAACAGCTGTCGTTCAGATTCGTTTAGTGGTTGGTCTGTGCTTCATTTTGTCATTAGTGTCCTTCGATGAAAAAACCTAACCGGCTTAGTTTGTATTTGGCGATTAGAAGGTCGAACGGCTCCTCAGTTAAGTAAGTGTTTAGACCCGGATTGGGACTTCGTGGGGGCTTGCAAGCGCCCTGGCGGACGACCCTAAACCACGCCGCACTCCTGTCATTCCATATGACATTTCGTCGTCGATTTATAAGACTCTCCTCCGACCCAGGACGAGGTGGCTTCTTCTGTCTGTTTCCCTCAAATTGAAATTCTCGGTTTAGCCAGAAAAAATCCTCCACCCCCGACCGCAACCGGCCACTTCGTACTGACCATATGGCGTCCAGGGGGCAAAAAGCACTTGTACACACTTTTTCCACCGAACGGAAAAATCGTCCGTTTCCACATTATTGAAGCGGAACGGGGCGGATTTTTCACGAACAAAATATTGATCCGTCAGTTCTTCTCTCGCCTGAAGGGGAGAGGAAGCTAAGTCATTATGAAGGGCTTTAATATTTAATTACGTTAAGGGAAGGACTTAAAAGGAGAAATTGAACGTTTATACCTCTTTAATTGCTCATGAATAAACAAACCGTCCCTTCAATCTAGTATTAAAATAGGATATTTGTATAAAATTTACCCGTTTTAACACAACACACACCGGTATCTTTGCGAAATGGCAGCAGCTAATGAAACTGGAAACTTTCATAAATCATTTAAATCCCCCCCCCCCAAAAAAAAAATATATATATATAAGTGTAGGTAAAAAGACATGGGGTCGTGATTAAAATTTAACCATGTAAAGAAACCCAATTAATTGTTTTCCCTCTCATAATTAATTTTAACTTTAAAATCACAAATCTGAGCGTCGACTTCCTTTCAATTATTTAAATAAGGAATAAAAAGTAATAAGTAATAAGATTCTGGATCCCCCTCTCGGCGCCTAGGGGAGAATTATTTTTGTCGTATTAATTAAACGAAGAATAATAAATCGTAATTAATTTATTTACTTTTTAATTTTTACAAATCTTAAAGCCTAACCGAAGATTGAGCAATAATATCACCATAAATCACGATAATCAGGGGGGAGGGATGTGTAATTTTAATAACCGCTGTTGAAAATCTCCTAATGATTTATAAAAGGTTGATTATCATAAAGGACAGTACATTTCGATCTTATCTACGGATCAGGAATACTAATGAATTTATGCGTAATAACCGTATATCTGGTGTTATTTCATAATATGGAATTATTTTGTCTTTTTCTATTCAAACGTCGTCGTTTTCTAAAAACCGAAACACAAAACTATCTTTGCTATTGTATATTTTTAAATAGATCAATGTAAATCAATACCTGTTATTATACATACATAATAACAGTTATTATACACTATAACTTAAAAAACGATTAACTCAGAATTGAATCTTTTTACATCGATTTTTCTTGAAGACTTAAATATTTTAAAACTAATTGCATTGGGAACGTCGGTTTTTAGATTTTGGAAGCGTTTAAAAGTGACACGATGTGCTGAATAACATGCAGACAAACTACTAAAGATTTAAAAAATGTGATGATATTAAAGCAAACTACAGGTTCTTTATCAATTAGAAAAAAATTCTAACATCCATAAACAAACACGTGTCTAATTAATTATTTTCTAATATATTCAGTGTGTCTATGATAACTTTAATTGATATTGCCTCGACGGAAAACAGGTTACAGTATGCTAAACGAATTTTCTTTCTAAATGATATTTTTATTCAACTTAAACCGAGAACGACTTGACTCGAGAGAGAAATGGTTAGAACTAAAGAAAACAATTTTAACAAGTGAGTAAAAGAGTCTGGCATCCGGAAACTCAACAAATTAAAACGGTTCCAGAGTGAGATAAGACCGACCCATGCCGGCGTTCCTCAAGGAAGCATTCTTGGTCCCATCCTGTACTCTATTTACACTGCCTGCCAACTCCAGTTTGTCAAATTATGCGGACTAGGGTAGTATAATAGGAAGCCGAATCCTAAACAAACCATCGCCACTATCCAGGAAGAAGGTGCAAAAACCAACACGAAACCGTCGATGTACACAAGTCAGATAATTAGGAGTATACCTAGACAGCAGAGTGACTTATTCTTGTCGTATTAATTAAATGAAGAATAATAAAGCCTAATTAATTTATTAACTT